CATCTGGGGAATTGTGCTTGCTCGAAAAGAGCTCGAGCTTGTCGCCGGATTACACACGTAAAGAGAATACTAGATGGAGGAGCACTCTTTTAAATGTTAAAAGACTCTAAGGACGTAACCGAGGATTGACGGGACAAAGGTAAGGATGGAGGTCCACTGACCAGGGATATGTTGCCAAACAGCTTATACCACCCGAACACCATCTCATTGAGGTTCAGTTCGTCCAACACGATCTGCGCAATGCCCATGAACACTTTTTTCCCTTCTAATCGGCCGTAATCACCCCATACTGTCACCTGCGGTCACAAGAGAAATAAAAAAGAAATAAAAAAAAAAAAAAACCATTAGATCGATATTTCAAATCGAAGATTTTAAGTAAAATTGAGTGATTAATTACCTGCAGTATGCAACCCCGACAATTTTCTCCAAAGGTTAACGAGTTCTGATAGAACGGGTCCAACGTTTTCCTCGCTACCGTCGTTTTCGCCTTCGCGATACACTTCTTTCCGTTCACCAAGTAAACTTTCACGTAGGAAGCTGAATCGATGAGAAAGGAAGAAGAATTAATAACAGATTCTAATCAATTTGATAAACTGGATGGCATTCATAGCTTTTTTTTCTTCTTTTTAAATCCTTTTTAATAATCTTCTGGACTATTCATTTCTTTTTATACATAACAATTTTCTTTTAGTTAATTTTTTGCTGCGGAACCGGATGACATTCATAGCTGTTTTTCCTTTTTCTTAAATCCGTTTTAATAATCTTCTGGTTTATTCATTTCTTGTTATACATAACAATTTTCTGTTAGTTGATTTTTTGCTGCGTTGGTATTATTTTGCCGACAATGGAATTTAACTTACTAAATCAAAGAAATCAGGACAATTATTATTCGAAACGTTTATCGTTGTCGTCTCTAACGAAAATAATTAATTTATTCATGATGAATATTGTAAACTGCAAATTCCAAATCTCATTTTCTGCAGTTTTTGAATAGAAAATGTAACTCGATGTAAAAATATGATTTTTACATCTATGGCTGATAGCAGTACGTGGAATAGTTACAATAGTAAAAATATCAAAGCCATCGGTTACGTAGTTTCTATGCCAAGTAAAGAAATTATGTTTCGAGAAAACCGCCAACCAACACCGTATAGAAAATCGTTATGTACGACAAGAGAGCAATTAAATGAATCACAAAAAGAAGCTATAACGTTAGTCGTACTGTTAACTTTGAAAAAAAAAATTGCCATCTTAAATATAAAAGTTCACAATTTTTTTTTTTTTTTTTTGAACGAATTATAGATGACTGTATAATAATTTTAGATTGCTAAAATCCCAGGTATCTTGGGTATTTTATTTTAACTTTGCCCACGAGCCTTATATCTTGGCGATCGATAGGTGTTAAAAAGATCGCCGAAACGAACAGATATAAACCAAGCAGCGTACCTGGAACGGTTTTAGTGCCGTGTTTCGGTTTAAGGTCTTTGGCACGTATGACCTCCACTTCAAGGTAGCCTTTCTTCTGGGTGAGCGAGAGCTGAATCTCGCCGAGGCAGCGAGCACCGAGCGCCTGCCTTCCAACCACTTGCCCAGGTCCGAGATCTTCGATGAAATTTCTCAGTTGGCCGGTTTCGCATGTCATTCGTAGACTGGGGGACCAACTGCGGTTTGCCAAAATCAAGCATGCTTAATAATCCACGAAGATCCATCGAGTGTTTTGGTAAAAAGAGGGAAGAAAAAAAAACAAAATATGTAGTTGGTAAAAATCGAAAGTAAAATATATATCAACGGGAGAGAAATCAACAGAAAATTTCGGATGGGAGACTTCGATTTCACAAATTACGCCTCGTAATAAACTCCGTGTCCGTTCCTCATCGTTTCGATACGATTTCGGCCAGTCTATTCGTTTGATCGGGTTTCATCGAGCAATCGAACGTAAAATGGAGGGGGGGGGAAAGAAGGGTCAAACAAACGAATCGTTATGCAGGAGCGAGGGACAATTCTCGCAAGCCTTCGACGGAAGTGCGGAAAGAGAGAGCACACCTCATTCAATTAATTTAAGACAAGAAAAACTCACGTTGCGAGTACAGTGTTGGTGTAGCGAGTAAATATATATAATATATATATATAAATATATATAATATATATATAATATATATATAAATATATATAAATATATATATATAATATATATATTTATATATTTATATATATATAATATATATAATAAATATATATTTATATATATAATATATATATAATAAATATATATTTATATATATATATAAATATATATAAATATATATAATATATATATAT